GTCATAACTTAAAGAGATGATACATCCCATATCTCGGGGGCTTTTCTCTGTTATATATAATGCAAATAATTCCTTTTACAAAAGTGTAATATACATGTATATATAATGTACATGTTCTTGCAATTAAAAGTGAATCCCCTTAAAAAAAACAACTACATTTTCTAAAAAAAATCGAATCCTTTTCTAAAGCCACTCCCCAAGTATACGATTATTTTTAAAAGTCAGACATGCATATGTACCTATCCTTTAGTTGCAACAATCGAGCGTAACATTTGCTTGTTAATTAGACAAATAGCATGTCTAATCGATTGAGTGGAACCACTTGTGGGGGATGAATGTTGTCTGTTAGTTATGTGAGCGATTGGGCAAGCAGACATCTACAATATTGAAGTGCGATTATCGGAAAGTGAGATTGTTTTCATGGCTGAATCCCTTGTTCACTGTATTAATGGATTAACTTCCTGGATTGTGTTGTTTTTCAAAGTTAAAAATTGTTTGTTCACGGAAATATATCTATCGATTTAACGGGTAATGATCGATGTGACCATACAGCAGTTTCATTTCCAATCTCTAAATATGCCCTGAATTCGGAAACTTTAAGTCTCGGATCAAATACGCTGCTCGACTGGCTGCAGTGGCAATAAATGCCAGTGCGCGTATCGCAGGGACATTAATGTATGTAGTACATACTCGTAGATGCACTTACTTTCGCACTTCATCGGGCACGAGGCACCGAAGAACTCCATTCCCAATATAAAAAGAGAACCCATGCTGCTATGCGATGCCATGCGATGCTCTCTCAAGTATTTTCAGCACGTTCCCATTGATTGCGTTTGAGAGGTGCTGCCGCCATATTGTGGGGTGTGGTGGTCGGGGTACGGGATATACGAGAACGAAGTATATGACTCTATGCACGATAATTCACATGGCCATAAAGGCATTTCAGGCAATGCTTCTTCGCCCACGCCCCCCTGCCAGCCGCTGAAAAGGTTCGTTAATCCATTAAATTTGAAATATGTTCCTGTGGATGGCTCTGGGAAATCCCATGGAAATGCCGCTTACATTTAGATAAATGCCATTCGCTGGGGTAATGCCTCGATGCCGATGTGTCAAGCTCCCAGAGAGATGATGCTGCTGCTGCTGCTGTTGGCTGCCAACACAAATCAAAATGGAAAGAACTCGGTTTCACTTTTGCCATTTCTCTGCACTCTGCCACAGTGCAACGTGCTTGTGCCCCAACATTATGCAATTGTTTTTGCTCGCCACACACACACATACACACACACACAGCCACAGCTACACGCTGAGGGGGCACCAGGGGGCAGGCCAGGCATCATTCTGATGGCTCTGACAGTGGGACGCCTTCATTGGGATGCCATCGGAGCTATGGCCGAAAAACATAACCAAGTAGAGAATATTAAAAAAAAATCCTTGCTAAAGGTTTCCCAAGATCTCATTTAAAGAGATATCTCTATGAAAAATCGTGAGAAATCTCTCTCTAATTTGGTATCCTGCTCATTTCTCTACTTTCCATTATTCCCTTGCCTTTTCACTGCACTCTGTTTCTGTCTTTCGTTTCTCTGGTAATCAGCGCCTTGCATTTTTTGTTCTTTCGTTGTACTCACCAGTAGGAAACGACATAACAGTAAAATCACTTCGCATGCACCGTTATAAGACATGCATTACGTGCATTAAATATTATATATTTTTTTAATGTTTAATGCTTAATCTTAAAGTAGTCTTAAAAAATGGTTAACAATAGCAGAAAAAAGGCTGCGTTAATTTTAATCGGAATATTTTAGCGGAGAGAGGAGCCCAGCCATACAGCGATACGTGACAAATGCGAGTGTCTCTGGATATCTAGAACTGACATTACGTAATGCTCACATATCCATTTGTACATACATATGTACATGGGACATACATACACCACAGTCCAGTTGGGGTCGGGTGGCCCACTGTGCGTGGGGGCACGTCCGTTCAAGGACGCATTGCTATGGAACCGCTTGAAAATGGCATCCGGATGGGTGACTGGCGGTGGCGTGGCTCGAGTGCAGCTCCATGGCGCCGGGCGCATGGCGCCACTGCTTGCTCCCTTGTGGCCCTGGCCATGGCCAGAATGTTCCATTTCTACTCTATGGCATACTCTCATCCGCAAGCCACCGCCAGCCACCGCCATCCACATCCGCAGCCCCGCAGTCCCGCATCCGTGGTGGGTTTCGTTTCTGTCAGCACTTGGCACCCACTTGTGTGGTATTTTGCTTTACACTTGCACACTCTCTCCACTCTCTTCTCTGTCTCTCTCCATCCTTATCCCCCTCTTTGCCCACTAATTCCCCTCTTTCTTTCTCTCTCTCTCTCTCTCTCTCTCTATGTCTGTTTCTATCTTTGTCTGTCTGGGATGCCTTTTGTTTGCTTTTGTTTCTGTTTTTGGTTTATTTGTGGCCACCCTGCCCCCTCTCTGGGGGGAGCGGGGGATGGCGACAGGACGACAGGAATTGTCATGTAAATGGGTTAAATTCGGACATTCAATTGTTCGTCGCAAGAGATTTTTCATTTGGAAACTCTGCTTTGATGCTTGGAAAACATGATTTCTCATTTTCGGCCGACTGGCCACAACACCATCCTCCGCACACACACCCACACACCACCACCTCTTGCCCGATCCTTGCTTTTTCATTAAAACTGAAACTCAAACCTAAACCCAAAACCAAGCAGAGCTTGGCTGTGAATCGGTGCCTAGGGGCATAAAGGGATTTGCAGCATTTTGCTGATAATTGCATTTCGAGATTTGCGAATCGAGAGTGAATCCTTTGTGCCGTCCTGCAATCTCTGACGGGCCACAGAAATGCCATTGCAGTATAAAGGACTATAGTATTTTGTAGAATATTTTTCGTGGTTGGTAATTTAGAAGTTATTAAAATGAGAGAGAGAGAGAGAGAAAATAAAAGAAAGCTCTCCATTTTGGTGGGTGGAGAGTTTATCAAAGAGACCTACTAAGTATCATTAATCAATGCATTGGAAATGTTTTACTACCATTGCCAGAGGGATTTGTGTATAAAAAAACGATAAGGAAATATCTAATCAAGCAATGACAATCGAAACTGATAGAGTTCTGTTGGTTAGCAACTGCAGCTTCAACCCTAAAGTCAGCTGGCATAGGTTCCAAGAATGGCATTTATTTATAGCGAGAAGCAGTTAAATTCTGTTAATTGACAGAATTGCTGGATCAGGACTTACAGTAGATCATCGCCACCCCCTTGCTATCAATTGTTCCCATTGCTTTGAGATTGATTCTTCGTCGAGCGAAGTCAGTACAGCAAAGTTAATTAAAATATCTGATTTAATTGTAAATTTAAATATATGGATTTACCATTCGAATCAATAACTATTACTTAAACAACAGGAAAAACAAGGGGAAAAGGGGAGAGCACACACACACACACCCTGGCCAAATGGAAGTACAAATGGAGGGGAGTGACTGCGAATAATTCCTTTCCGTAACTGTGGGTGCAACATTTAATTGCATGCAGATTGAGGGGCGAAAACAAGGTGAAACAAAACGGCGCCCAACTTTTGTGCGGGGGAATCATGCAAAGCGCAGCACATTTGAAATTGGCCATTGAACTTTCATATCAAAAGCAGCAGCAAGCAGCAAACAGCAACAGCAACAGAAACGCGCAACAACAGCAACCGGAGCAAAAATGGGTTTTAAAATGCTAAAAACACGCGAACACCGCGCCCCTCATCATAATTGGAAATGTCTGTAAGAATCGCAAGTCGCGGGCCACATAATGGCTCGTACGAGTACATCCGCTGCCAGCTGATATGAGCCCGTGCCCTGGGCCGCCCCACCTGCGGCGCACCTGCCCCCGGGCGGTTGTTAACAACTTTGTGGAAATTACAATGTGGAAGGGAAAGGAAAGTGGAAAGTATAATCAAAATGGTTAGGAGGTCGTTCTTTTAAGGGCAAGCGATTAGCGTGCAACGGCACGAGGCCTACAAAAAGAACAAAATGCTATCCCATGAGAAATGAATTCCAAGAATCGATTTACATATTTACGGCGGAATTTATTTATCTTTCTTTATCTCTATTTAATGATCATAAAGAGATGTACCACCTGTTGTGGGGGGCGATAAAATCGCAAAGAGTTTACTTATGGGATGTATGTATGCTGTGTGGATCCATAAATGATCCTATGCAATAAATTTCAGACAAAATGAGGTTCCACAGCCCCAATTAAAACCGAATCTGTGGCACCCACGATAGAGTTTTCCAGTAGAAATCGATTGTACATAACACTAACTAGCTTATGTACAGAAAAATTAATCTCAATGGAATTATGGATTCCTATAATCGTTGACACCTGCGAAAATTATATTTTGGTTTACATTTTGATCTATTAATAAAAAATGCCATAAAAATGTATTTAAAGGAAACAGGATTTTTTGTACAACATTTTTAAAATTCGTATAACATTGCACTCGTGATCTAATCGTTTATTGTTGGTATCGGCAATTGTTTACCAGAAATACATATGTACCTTTATAAAGATAGGCTTTATAAGACATCAAATAATGGTTCGATAATTGGCTCAAAAGCCATATAGATAATCGATAACCGAGTTATATACATATATGTATGTATATATGTACATTGGCATGCAATATCGATTGCATTCAAGTGGAAACGAACTGAACTGCAGTAGGATCTGAGGTACCTTCTCTTCCAAATAGAATTGAATGGAAAACCTAATCACAGCAATAAGGCGACAAAGCCAATATTCAGATTAGTAAAGAAAATAATTCAAGCAAAATGGGCTTAAAGATGGAATGAAAATGTTAAGTCGAAATATAAATAAATGGCCTTGAAAAATGGCCGTTATTGAGGCGTAGAATATAATGAAAGTGAAGTAAATATATATATATATAAATATATAATATAAGTATATTCAAAGCTAATAAATCTAGAACTTATCAGCTTTTTTTTTTCATTTCAGTTTTCCAATGCCCCTAGTCGCTACAGGGAAATGTAAGTACAGAGCTTTAAAATATTAATTATCGAAAGATATCCACTGAGCACTTAACACTGGGAAACTACACAAAAATAAATTCATTTAGCATTAAACAAATTTCAGAATTCGTCGCGTAGACGTCGGGGCCCTATCGACGTCCGTTCCGTCCCATCCACGCCCCCGCTTCGCCGCCACTGCGTAAAACAATCAGAAATCGAGTGAAATAAAAACACAAAAAGAAATGCCAAAAAAATTACATAAAACCGCACACAAAGCAAATAAAGAGGAGAGCCAGAGACGGAGCGCGAAGTAGAATATACAGAGAAATCAGCGGAAAATAACATTCGAAAGGAACGGTTAAAACGAAACGAATGAAATCAAAACACCAAAGAAGCGTAAAGCGACGACCAACACGGAAGAAATCAGCAGAAAAACAACAACCAGAGAACCGAGCCCCATAGAACAGAGTCGGGTCCATTGAACGAGGGATCCCCTACCCCAACCCCACACAATATATATTGTGGAATGAAGGGCGGCGGCGCCTACATCAACATTGGCTCAAGCAGCAGCAGCATCAACAGCAGCGGTAGTGGGAGCGGCAGCAAGATGACGCTGGGAAAATCTGTTAAAATGTACCTGACCATATTCATAGCCACGACCTGCATCTACATGGTGCTGTATCAGTATCACATGTCCCGGGAACCCTTCTCACCCAGCGAAGTCGGAAAGGTAAGCCAAATCGAGTTTTTTTAACTAAAATAGAGAGATGTTTTCTTTAAGGTTACAAATAAGAATGTTAAGAATTTCAGGATCGAAATGCTAAACCGAATGACATTTACTGGAAGTTCCTAAAACGAATACATAAATGAACATAAAGTAATTGATTTTTAAAGCATTTCAAGCTGTAAGCAGTCCATCCACTTGATAAGCAGTTCAGCTTACAAAGTAGTTTACAAAGCAGTAGATGTATCTGTGAAACAGTTGAATGTGAGATTTGGGAGTTCCAAAGCAGTGTAGATTGAGTGCTCTGAGCTCTCCTCACTCTCTCTCTCTCTCTGTTGCTCCACTTGGACAGTTCGAAATTCCAGTAAGTGTCATACGGGCTTAAGGAACCATTTGATTGCAGTTGTCGTCGCCGGCCCACTCGCTCGTTTTGTTTCTGTTTTGTTTCTACTATTTCATTATCTGTTATATGTACATTGTTATTCTGTTTTGTATGTCTGTATATGTATGTCTGTCTTTCTATGTACATGTATATGTAGGTAGGTAATTAGATACTGTTCGTTAATTAGCAAGAGCGAGTTCTAAGCACACTTCTCTCCCATTCGCATTCCCACTGTGTTGCACAATTGTCGTCATACCATCGCCCATCGTCCACTGCAATGTTTCACTGTAACGATGTGGACATCATTAATATTACAGTTATTATACAAACAACTTATCGGACAGGCGGGCAGGCAGGAGCCAAGATTGATAGCCAATGCCAGCAGCTAGACAAAGATAAACATGTTATCTTTGATGAATGAATGTTTGAAGGGGATCCCCGAAGGGATTACAGAAATCGTTTTACGAAAGCGATAGGGATGTATGTCAGCAGCAGCACAGGGGCGTGCAGCCCCATCGGAGTGGAAGGGGGGGGCGCTAGAAACTAGTGTAGCTGCTGTACAGTGAAAGATCTACCTACCTACGTGCCTTGAACAATTATTTCTTAACATGTTGAATTGTTTTATCTTCTGATTGCTGTTTCCGATTGTGGTTTCACTTGGGCTAGGTTAGTTTCCGCCTCCTATCATTAGCTATCAATCTATGTACTCGTATGTTATCTAATTATCTAACTATCTATATCTGTCTGTAATTGTTTCCTTTGTGTTCTTGTTCTATTTCCACTTGATCTCCCTCCCATCCGCTAATCTAATCGCTAACCAAAAACGTAACTTTAGCATCAAGAGAAATCATCATCATCGTCATATATCGCCTCATACTTGTGGTCACCCATCTCCCTGCTAATGGCCAATAACTTGACAAGCAACAATGCAACAACAACAACGACAACAACAGTGGCAACAACTACAGTAAGCAATGTGGACCAGGTGCAGGAATCATCCTTTGGGTCCATCCAATCGGTTTCATTAGCTGCCACCCGACCCACACTGACATCGTCATCGGCATCAGCATCAGCATCAGGGGGTGGCGCCCATAAGACTGCAACAACCACATCAACCACTCCTGCTCCAGCAACAATTGGCAGCGCAGTGACAGCAACAACAAGAAGTACCAAAGCCAATCCAAGCGCCAAAAAAGCTACAGCAAATGCCGCCAAAGCCTTGGCCCCATCCACATCCATGTCCCAGTCCCAGCTGGACGCTGCCCATAAAATTCAACCAACATTCGTTGCCGCTTCACAGCCCGTAAATATATTGACGTAATCGTAGCAGTAGTATCCGTATTAGTTGTAGTTTTAACTTACCGTAACACCGTGGCACTGCACTGAATGTGAATGCCCCACATACTCGTCTTTATTTTAGCTTTCAAGTTTGAAACTGCAACTAACCAAAGCACAAACTTATTTCTTTCTTTCCTCAATTCTTATGATCTGTGGCTTATCATTTTTCGTTTACTTAATGCAAAGATGAAAGCCTTTCCAATGCTATAGCAATGGTTGACTGATACTTTAAGACATTCCATATATTTTCTTCATGCAATACCTGTTCATCTGCAAGGTTATCAAATGGTTTTTGCACCAACCAAGATACCCACAAGGTCATACCGTGCTTTCTGTTTATTTCTGTTCTGTTTTATTTAATTTTGAGGAGTGCATTCCCGTATACTTGTCTTATTTCCCCCTCTTTGTGTACAAATATTAATGTTTTTTTGTGTGTTTGATTGCTAATTATGAAAGATCTGGTGGCTTTTTCTTATCGTTCTCTGAACTAACATTAACAATTTCCTTAATTGCTTTTTGTGGCTTGCATCGCTGGTTGTCACAAATGCGTTGCAGGGGGATGTAATTACAATAAACGAGAGCGAGACTTGGCCATAAACAAACCTAAATGGAAAACGTGAGGGAAAATATTTCATACTAATAAGTTTAAGTTATAGCTCGAGCTTTTAGCGTGCAGCTGTGGGATAGATGTGGCTTACCCAAACTAGTACGAACTATGCTCTGACCAGGCTCTCTCCTATCTGGTACTGATACACACTCGCATAATGTTTTGGGTGCACTTTTTTAACAAAAGATTAACACCAGACATAAGGTTAATTAAAAACAAAAAGGAAATGATTATTTGATTAAAATTGTGTTGTAGATAGTGGGGCCATTTGTACATCAACCAACCAATTCAATTAGCGAGAAATCAGTTGACATTGCGTCTCTCTCTCTCTCTCTCTCTCTCTTTTCTCTACCTGTGCTATACAGGTAACTAGACTTGTAACCTATACAGTTTCCATTCCAAAAGACTTCAAAAGAAGTGGCAGAAATGCCATATAAATAGCACAGCTTTGAGAAAATTATTAAAGCCTCAATCGGAAAGATCGGAAATGGGGGTTTGTGGTGCTGGAAAGTCGTTTAAGCAATTTCCACACGCCAATTACTTGACAAATGCATTCCATATTTGCCATACACCAATGGAGCCACTCGTTGCTTGTTAATTATAGTCTCATTAGGACTATAAATGGAGATATATATGTATGTAGATATAGATTGCCATCGCGTACAGCAATACAGCAATACGGCAATTGGTGGTGTTGTTTGTCTAACCAACTTTTGTTGGCCACACGATGTGCAAATTGGTTACCGTCTATCAGTGGCACGATTTGTGGGTTAATCACATACATTATATGTACTACTGGAATTAACCAGCATGGCATCCATTCAGCCATCCCCCATCCCCAGCTCCCCTTACTGTTCCACATCCTTTTCAAAATGATGTGCAAACAAAAAGATTTCCATTCAGCGTTTTGTATGATTCTAATTTGAAAATTGCTCAAAATGCAGATACAGATGGAAAGGGAGAGAGAGAAAAACCGAGACCGCGGGCAGTAACAGCAAAAGCAACAAATGATATACATATATGTATGTATAAAGTATGTATGTATAGAAAGAACATTTTACTAGCACTAGTGGGTGGTGGATGGGTGGGTGGGTGGTTGTTTGCTGATCTAGTTTCTAGATTCATGCAAAATGCAAGCCAATTGAAAAGATTCACGCGCATTTGTTGGTTTCTGTCATTTAGTAGTAGTTGGATCCACTAACAGCAAAGCAGCTGCCACTGCCCCTGCTTGGGCCCTACAACCAATGCCAGAGGTTGAGTCCATCGGCAAGGAAAGGAAGTTGGGTGCCACAAATTAAAGCTAACCCGTAAATATTTTCTAGATGTAATTCGCAATTGGGAATTAAGAGACTTAACTTAGCTCTGAACTTTGTAGCATCAAATATTTGCTTTATACGTTAATAGTTTACAGTCAAGTATAGTGTTGATCAGTGCAGTGTTGCGTAATGCAGTTCAGTGTTGAGCAGCGAATGACATTCAAGTTTATCCATCCTTGCAAGCGAAGGGGATCTTTCTGTTCAGCTAAGCCCATAATCTATGCAACTTAGTTTGGCTTTGCATGCTGCCACATGACACATGATCCCTCCTCTCCCCTCTCTCTTCGTTCCGTTCCAATCTATCTCTTTTTCTTTATTTAAATATCTGGGTTTATTTTGCAAAGCAAATTTGAATTTGAATGCAGTTTTCCACCCGCATTTTGCTCTACGAGCCAGGGAGTGGGAATGGGAATGAACAATTTGCAAAGTAGTGCAGCGGTTTATTTATTTTCAACGTCAGTCGTTCAATGGGCCATGGGGTTACATGGATACAATACACACCATCTGGAAATGGATATGGAAATGGAAATGTCGGTTACTGGTGCTGTGGGGCTTGAGAAATGGGGGCGGATGTGGTCCCAGTCGATCCGTTCGCCTGTAAATTAATTTGCATAATTGCTCATAAAAAGAAACTCACGCCGCGTTACGCACCTCACCCCACCCCCACGCATACACCTAACGAACCACTTGGCCACGCCACGCCACCCACTAACCACTAACCAGCACAAGTGCAGTGCACACACATACACCGCCACCGCTGCCATTGAGTATACTACATAGTTGGGGCCGTAGATAATCCTATCCATCCTTTAAACACTTGACCCCGCAGCCGCCCCTGTACATAATCACGCCCACCTACCGGAGGCCCGAGCAGCTGGCGGAACTGACGCGCCTCGGATACACGCTGAAGCACGTGGCCAATCTGCTGTGGCTGGTCATCGAGGATGCGAACAAGACGAACCCACTGGTGGCGCACACCCTGGACCGCATCGGTGTGCCTTACGAGTACATGGTGGGTGAGTATTGTCGTCCGGTGTCATGTCCAGGCCCCATTCGAGTGATATTTACGAGTTCTTCATCCCCCATGCCGCCACAGCACCCATGCCCGAGAAGTACAAGCAGACGAAAAAGGCCAAGCCGCGCGGCGTCTCCAATCGGAATCGGGGCCTCGAGTATCTGCGCCAACATGCCACCGAGGGCGTGCTCTACTTTGCCGACGATGATAATACCTATGACATTAGCATATTCGAGCAGGTATGCCATCGACAACGACATTAAGGGGCATACTCCATTAAGTACTGACGACTGGGCTTGTCCTCCTCCTGCTTCTCCTGCTCCTCCTGCTCCTCCTCCACAGATGCGGTACATCAGCAAGGTGGGCATGTGGCCCGTGGGTCTGGTAACCAAAACGGGCGTCAGCAGCCCCATTATACGTAACGGGAAGCTCGATGGTTACTATGATGGCTGGATAGGGGGACGCAAGTATCCCGTGGACATGGCCGGATTCGCGGTGAACATCAAGTTCCTAAGACAGCGACCCCACGCACAGATGCCCTTCAAGCCGGGCTATGAAGAGGATGGCTTCCTACGGAGTCTGGCGCCGTTGGATAACAACGAGATCGATCTGCTGGCCGACGAGTGTCGAGATGTGAGTGTCTACTATCTGGCTGAAAGTCTGTTTTAATAATATCTAACCTCTGGTCCTCTACAGATCCTCACTTGGCACACGCAGACCAAGAAGAACCCGCCCGCACAAGCGTTGAACAAGACGCGCTACAGCAACACCAATCTGGTGCACATAGACAAGCTGCTGGTGCGTCCATAAGGGCGGCAGACTGTAGTTAGATATAGATAGATATAGATAAGGGGGTCCGTTTAGGAAAGCGAGTGAGCTCACAAAGTGTCCATGGACTTGACCAGTTGTACAGGTACAACCTTGTGTTAAAGTCTCGTTTCCACTCTTTACTGTGGACTAAACCAATCAGAATTGATCAGATGGGCAGATCGAGTAGATCCAGTAGTAGGTGTACATTATTGCCCATAATCATACGATAGTTAGCTAGCTATAAGCGCGCACTCGCCTACGATAAAGATACAGCCAGGCTTTGTTTGACCCCAGACACGGCTCCTACTACATGCCTACGAGTATGTTTAATCACACCTTAAGTACTCTATTCCAAATCATATCGTATCGTCCTCGACAACCACTACTACTACAACTACAACTACAACTATTTTGTAAATATTCGCAATTGTCTTGATTTAAGTTTAGGCATACTTTTGTTTAGGTTTAAGTTGAAATTTCTCAGATTTGTATCAGCCACAACGAATTGGATCGGATGTTCCTAAATCTACCAGAAGATACCCCGCAAAGACATCCAACGTGCACTCCCCTAACTGCGATAAGGTCAAGGCCCACTCAACCCACAACAACTATTGGCGAATGGTGGCGGGGACAGGTGGCAACTGGAAACTTATACATACATATATCCCGGAATGTTCCCAAGGAACCCAAAAATGCAGCTCAAATGTGGGCCGCAGCCATTTCAATAATTCATGTTGACACAGTATATTCTGCCGGCGGCACAGATACTACCCGTAGTAACTCGTGGCACGGACTGGCCCCCCTCTGCGGAACATCCGAATCGCGTGCAGAAACTGCATGCCAGTCGATGCGGCGGCGGGAAGTACAGCGAATGAGTACAGCAAACAGTTTACTATATGCTAATGGGATTCAATGACTCAAAAAGTTTTTGGCAAGGCGAAAACCAATTCCAATTCCAGTATAAACTATGCACACTTTTTTTTGTTAAAGGGACACTCTCTCTCACACACTCTCTCTCATTATACTTCTCTTTAGGCCTAAGGATCTATGGTGCGAGTTGTTTCGAATTCTAGGTTTCCAAATGCAACACTTTCGCACTATCCCTAGGTAATGATAATGATAACGATAAGTTTAGTTTACAAAGATAAACACTTACATTTGTATTGTACTATATTCAAGTTATGAACTGCACTGAAATACGCCTACGTGTAAATAATACCCAAAAATATTCACCAAAAAATAATTGTAACCAAATTTTTACAAATCCCGCGACTGTATGGGAGCTATGAAGCTAAGGGAACTATGACAAATGGTATTATAAAATTTATACAATTTATACAAACGGATTACGGAATAAGCAGCAAAGCAATTAGTTAGGTACTTACAAAAATCTTACAACAACAAATATTAATATACGAATTATAGTACGAGTACGAGTACACACATTCATAAATAATGAAAACCTCTTCAAGATACTATCTCAGAATCTTCCCCAGAATACTAAACGATACAGAAATGCATAGTACACGCGAGTACGTCTAAAACTATTCTCTTATTCAAGTAAATTACAACATACAATGTTTAAACCTGAAAGAACTTCAATCATTTTTTAAGCAAAATAACTTTCAAATAAATTTATCAACTTTCTAAACCATTTTCAAAGTAATATAGTATCTATTGTTTTTTTTTGTATTTATATATTAACGAACACAATTAGTTAGATCAAGAAGTAATACACTTAAATTTATTTGAAACGAAGATATATATTATTCTTATATATAGAAATCGGAAGGTGCAACTGGAGTAATCGAAGCGTGTTGGTGATCTACTATAAATTAGAGTTATCTATCGACTAGTGGCTCCAGACGGCAGCATCAATCAACTGGTTTAGAGTTCCTGCAGTCGCTCTATGTCGTAAAGAGAGGCCTCGTCCCAGATCAGCAGATTTGCTGAATGTTTGCTCAACTATTCAGCTGGTTCGCATTCGATCAGATACTTGCAATATTTTACGTGTATTTACCATCGCTGTTTAGACACTTCGAAACTGGTTCAAAGGCTCTGCTCTCTGCTCTCAGATTTCTGTTTTTTGTTTGTATCTTTTTAAAGTACCAATTCTGAATTTTCATCGGATGCACAGCAACAGTAGGATTCTACTAGGAAGAGTGCGTGCGTTATAATCGTAAGAGGACAGTGCATCATCTAAAAGCTTACATTAAATGGCACTAATCTGGTCACTACTTTTTTATATTTAATATGGTAGATTGGCCCATCCTTCTCTGGCCTCGAACATTCATCTATTAGTTCTATCTTTGGGGTTTGCTCTACATATTATCCACTAGCAAATATAAAAATATTGAATCGGAAACTTCCTAATACTTTGTAACATTTTTAAAAATTCTACGTTCTAGATTCGAAGTAGAAGAGTAGAGTTTCAATTAAGAAAACTCTCATGTATGGTGCCTAATTGGAAGTTATTTGTTTTGAGAATTGGTGCATTGGTCATTCGCCAAGAAAGTGAATGATTTATATCATAGATCAAGAGACAACATACCAAGCTTACATGCGGACAACAGGACTTACAGGGATCTTATTCAAGCGGGAGAATTTCTAAACGATCGAAACGAAAGCTATTATAAAATTCATATCAGATAAGATCCCTTGCGGGCTTTGCTTGGAATCGGGCTAAGCTGATCCTGCAGCTTCTGCCGGCCGTAACCGATTCCCAAATCGTTTCGATCTTGGAGTGCACTCTACTGTGTGGTACTAAAAAGATAGCTCAACATCGATGGCTGCACGTGAAAGCTTATAGTTGCCTCTTCCCACTTGGTACGAATCAAACGCTGCAACGGCGTGTTGAGCGTTGACTCCTCCTTGGCGACCACATCGCTACTACCGCTAGCGCCACTAGCAGCACCACCAACACCGCCGCCGCTAGCGGCACCCACACCGCCACCGGCAGTAGCACCTCCACCCGGAGTCGGAGCAGCAGCAGCAGAGCTCGCTTCTCCATCCTTTCCGGCTGGCTTGCCCGCCATCGAGGTACCCTCCGGTGTGATTGGTTGCCGCTCCAACATGACCAATGCCTGCTCATTGTACGTGCGATTGTCGATGGTCATCTGGATCTGATGCCCCGAACAGCTGTAGTAATTCACATCGAAGCGCGACTCCGCGTGGTAGTTGCGCAGCAGATCCGGGTTCCGGTTGAACACCACGCCGTAGTGGCCCGTGCAGCTCGTTACCCAGATGGGATAGTTGGGCGTCTTGAGCCGTGAGCCCGGCTGTCGGGATTGATTAACCGCTGCCTGTGTTGAAATAGTTACAAGCCCAAATATAGATAACGCAAAGTACTTCAATTTAAGAGTACAAAAATAATATTTGATATTAAAGGAGTATTCCAATCCTAACTTACGCTAGTGGACTCAATGTCCCAGAGCAGCAGACCGATCATACAGCGTTTCAGCACTCCGTATTGCGGCACCGCCTGCAAATATACGTATACGAAACTCAATAATATACCTTTGAGGAGGCCCATATCTGCATTTAAATCATCATGTTGGGGTTACACACATAGCTACTTTCATCGCCCACATTGACGACGCCGTTGTGTATGTAGGGCGTTGCGCGGCCCGTCAGCAGCAAGGTGACAATCATCAGGGAGCCCTCCTCGTGGTTGCTCATTGTCAGTGGCGATGATTTCGAGGAGTCCAGGTCCGTGCGCACTCTGCAATGAATGGAAAAGTAAACGAGTACACCGCCGAATAGCAAATGTTTATGGGCTACAGAATGCATCTTGATACAGAGACTATATACGGATACGGATACGGATATATGCGGACACTGGCAACTACTCGTATCTAGCTGAAATCTTACTTTCCCATGGATCGCGTGAGAACGGCGCTATAAAGAAATAGCAGAGTGCCGGGGGTCTCTTCCTCTGAAAACTTTGAAGCGGGTTAAATGGGTTAACTGTTCGATCAGAGAACCAATGAATATAATTATGAACATTCTGTATCTTACGTATTTGAAATTCCGCTTCATAAAATGTTCCAACTCCTCGTTGGGCGACAGGGTAAAGACATAGAGCTGTAAACGAATTGGGAATGGAATTTCTATCTGGGCTCTTTTCCAGGAAATCTTTACTTAAGCTCGCATAATGTATGTAAAAGGGGTGGACGGGACGGGTCGGGGAGGGAACTCACCTTCTCGGTGACCGAGTCGTGGAAGTAGCTGGCACTGTGATCCACAAAGACCTCATCATCTGACGGCAGCACCATGGTCACCTTACCCTTGTCCGAAATGGTTCGCAGTATCTCCACCAGGGCACAGAACAGCGCCTCTCGCTGCATCTCGGCGTTGGCCAGGAGCGGGCTGAATAAAAAGCACACGCGAAGGAGTATGAGGATGAGCTGGATGGAGAGGACAGAGGGGTATTCGAACACGCACTCGGTGAGGGCAGCCACACGGCTGGTCTTGCGGGCGAACAGCAAATACTTGAGCACGAATCCCTGGACGACGGAGAGCAGGCCACGGGTGGCATTTCGAGGCGATCGAAGGCCGTATGCAAGCTCCTCTTTTGGCGCTCCAAAGACAAAGGAAGTCTGCAGCCACTCGGCGCGCATGGGGATGGCGGCAGTGCCAAATATAAGATTGCGCAGATCCTAAATGGGGGGACAGACAGACAGCACAGACATCACCGACATCACAGGACGATAGCGGAGTTCAGGACACTGCCTAATTACCGTTGCCAGTTCGGATGTTATGGGCGTGCCGCCCTGTGTGATGAACTGCTTGTTCATTTCTAAGTGGATACCGTGTTCCGTTCGATGATTACCGTTTCCGCTAAGAGACCTTTGCTCCACTCTGCGACTCGTTGGCGAATGATTTATCGCGCGGAACAGTTCTGGTCGCTGGCTGCAGTTGGCACTGGGCATGGGCATGGTAGACAGCTGCTTTTAAGGTATTTCACACTTCAGAATGGATTTTTAATTTCATATTTAGCCGCGGGCTCACGGGGCGTATGCGCAACGAAACAGAAGCCAGCAGTCAGCCAGCGTTCACGGCAATGCCAAACCACTGCCAGACAGTGGGCATCACACCCGCCTGAATGAAGCCTGAGCCCGAAGATGGCACAGGAAACTTCAGCATGGTGTTGCCCGAATTCGGCCCACTGTGCTGGGCCCAGGATTAGCTTTGAAGGAGGGTCCGTGGGTCGTTCGCTTGTCTGTCAGTCAGCGAAAGTAACTTTAAATGAAATTGAATTGAATTTAGTTCTGTGTGCGGCACACGAAACCCGATGCACTCGTACTAGTATGTGGCACAAGAAGTGAAAGTGTTACGGTTCTCCGCTCAGCGACCAAGAAGCCTGGGAGTGGGCATGGCCATATGTGAAATATATTTTGCTAAAATTTGGCATGTTGAGAGCTTGTCAGGGCGTTCCACACAACCGGAAATATGTAGTTGACGCCCAATTTTGAGGCAGGAACACGTGTGCACCCGTGTTAATAACCGGGGGGGGGGGGGGTGTGATGATTTCACTGGCCACCGCATTATTCTCGGCTAAGCAATTTTAAATTGTACACTTGTACTCCATTTACGGCGATTGATTTGTTGAATTTCTGGGCGGGCCTAAATGGTAGTGAAAGTGGCCAAATAACTAACTGGCGGGCTGACCTTGGGCATGTCACCAGCGATTCATTAGAGTGCAGACCCTGACATGCACACCAGCACAGAAACGGCAGTTTCATGGAAGGTTTTCACAATCAGTTTCCGACGGGCAGTTGTCAGTTGCTAAGTAGCTCGGGAAGTGTTAACTTGGATTGACATTTAATTGGCTTACGGAACAACATGAGCTACATATATCTTATGCAATAGACCTAACATAATACACAACATTCCCTACACCTTGTTGCTTAACTTAGAGGTTAAATAATTACAAAATTGCCGCTGATTCAGCTTGGAATCGTGGGACCCTCTGGCTGGCTCAACATATCCCGCATAACTGTCCTGGCCGATGCGGGTGCACGTCCCACTAGATACAGCGCATTGAAGTACATATTTATGAGCCGCAGCCTGAAAGCGGACGCCCACAGGCAATACTCAAAGTAGGCACGGCGACACAGCCAGCGGAAGTACTGGAACGGCGACGTCCGACCGTGCTGCATGTAGAGACAACGCTGGGCGTAGCGGGCCATGACACGAGGCCGATTCACCACATCGCCATGCTGGTGGCTAATGGCGCGCACAGTGTTCAGGTTGCGGACCTAGGCATTACATTGAATTGGTTAGAAATCACAGCCACAGAGGAGCTTCCCTTTTTCAAACCACATACCACAAACAGCATGCTGCGCGGCATTTCCTTTAGAGTGCCCATTATGGATTCGAAATTCTTCCTTGCCACCTCCTGCATGTGCTGGATGTCCTCCTCGGACAATTTGCTTCGGATGGTGCCACCGCGGATGCGAATGGGCTGCTGGAACAGCACCTCGGCGAAGCGCATGTAGTCAACGATGCCAATCTTCTCGGCGGCAGCCTGCATCTTCATTTCGTTGCGCAACACGGTGGCCTCCCAGAACTCACAGAGCGGGCCACGCACCTCGGCCGGCAGCTCCTCGTACAAGCCATGGTCCAGTAGAATGATGTCGGCTCTCCCACTGCTTTCATTTCTGCGCACAAAAACTATGAGAGAGGTTGGAGGCAATTAGCACTAGCTGTTGACTGGAGCCTTGTCGCATTTGGAGCGTTACCCACTGTTGCCGGGATGCGGATCGGCGTGCACAAAGCCGGTGTGGAAGATTTGCTCGGCAAACGTGTTGAATAGCTTCACATCGATGTCCTGCAAGCTCAGCTTTCGGGCAGCAATTGCCTCAAGGTCGCTGATCTTACAACCATCCATCCATTCAAGGGTGAGAACGCGCTGAATGCAAGACTTTAGTGGAAGCATTCTGACAGGATAAAAAGCTATCTCACCGTCTTGGTAAACGGCCAGTAGACTTTTGGCACACGAACAAAGTCGAACTTCTTCATATCGTCGGCGCAACGCTCGGCATTGTGGCCCTCCTGCACAAAGTTCATCTCCTGGACCAGATTCTTGCGCAGATCCCTCATAATCCAACCGAAGTTGTAGTCCTTGAAGAAGAACTCGATGATGTCCTGCAGAAACATGATGGTGCCCAGGTCGCTGATGAAGCGCTTCTGCAGATCGCTGTACTGCACCTTAACGGCCACCGGCTCGCCACTCGGCAGCTTAGCATGGAACACTTGCGCCAGGCTGGCTGCAGCCACTGGCTCGTAGTTAAAATCCTCGTAGATTTGCTCAGGCAGCTGGCCAAAGTCCTTGTGGAACACCTTACGCACATCGGCTTTTGTCGTCGGCAGACATTTGTCTTGCAGCCTTGAAAGTGTGCTGGTGTACTCAATCGGCAGTATGTGATTGATGGCCGCAAAGCCCTGGCCCATCTTTATGTAAAGGCCACCATTGAGCAGACACGTCTCCAGCAGGCGCTCGGCACTCTTCTGGTGCAGCGCCTTTAGCCTGGTATCGTACTCGGCATCGTGCTCGTCCAGCCACAGATAGTCCGCCGCAATTAGTCCAGCTGTTTTCAGAGAGCGCACAAAGCGAACAGACGCCCCACAGTACGTAAAGTCGTTGACAATGCCATCATAGCCAATGGCACCGACACCGGCCACGATCAGGCCCACCCGTCCAATGGGAAATGATCTCCTCCCACTTCTCTGTGTAACTTGATTTTGACTGCCAAATCGTCTAATACGAAGTCTGCTGCCCAAGTGTAGGAGTTGCTGCAGTCGCTAGTGGCCACCAAATAGACAGAATCAGCAGGATTCACTCTTTTATGTTTATTAATATACTTTACATGAGCTTGTCGCATGTTTTCTATGTTCTAAAGCACAAAGGTTCACAGTGGACACCTGTTATTGTTGTTTTCGAACAGCTGTTAATGTTGCGACGGTCCGGCAACGTTTTCGATTTTCAGCCTAGCCACCAACCATACAGTATATAGATGTGACAGTTCATACAACGAAAGTGGCGCTGCTGAGGTTTCAGCGTACGGTCCCAGGTGTTCGGTTCTGGGGCCGATCGCGCTCGGCTCTGGTGTTGACCGTGTTCGGCTAATGTCGTGACACGAGCCGACTGAAAGCAAGCATGTATGTGTGTACGTGTAATACTCCAAACCATATGATTGTATGGATAGAATAAATTTTAACTTTTTAGCTCTTGATGAGCGCCTAGATCTCAGAGACTATAAAAGCTAGAGAATATACATTGTGGATGTAGATAACAGATGTAGCAAAAATATGTAATTTTTTTTTAATTATAAAATTCTTTAAAATAATAAGCCCAACTATGTATATACTGACTGAGTACGGGTATGAGAAGAGTCGCGTCCCCAGAAGTGACTCACACATTCCTTCTCGTTTTTCTTGTTTCTCGTTGTATTGCGTTGCTCTCTTTTTTCGATCTACTTTTTCTCATTTTCTGCCTCCACTTTCCACCGCTCAAATGGCAGAAAACCGTTAATTCAAATCTGTGATACCAGGCGCACAGAAATCAGCAGAAGGTCGCTGCTTTTTTCAAATTCTCTTTTTTTCTTGTTTCTCTTTGTATTTCGTTGGTCTCTTTTTTCGATCTACTTTTTCCCATTTTCTGCCTCCACTTTCCACCGCTCAAATGACAGAAAACCGTTAATTCAAATCTGAGTTACCAGGCGCACAGAAATCAGCAGAAGGTCGCTGCTTTTTTCTAATTCTCTTTTTTTCTTGTTTCTCTTTGTATTTCGTTGCTCTCTTTTTCCGATCTACTGTTTCTCATTTTCTGCCTCCACTTTCCACCGCTCAAATGACAGAAAACCGTTAATTCAAATCTGAGTTACCAGGCGCACAGAAATCAGCAGAAGGTCGCTGCTTTTTTCTAATTCTCTTTTTTTCTTGTTTCTCTTTGTATTTCGTTGCTCTCTTTTTTCGGTCTACTTTTTCCCATTTTCTGCCTCCACTTTCCACCGCTCAAATGGCAGAAAACCGTTAAATTCAAATCTGAGATACCAGGCGCACAGAAATCAGCAGAAGGTCGTTGCTTTTTTTAAATTCTCTTTTTTTTTTGTTTCTCTTTGTATTTCGTTGCTCTCTTTTTTCGCTCTCATTTTTCCCATTTTCTGCCACCACTTTCCACCGTTCAAATGGCAGAAAACCGTTAAATTCAAATCTGAGATACCCGGCGCACAGAAATCAGCAGAAGGTCGTTGCTTTTTTTTAAATTCTCTTTTTTTCTTGTTTCTCTTTGTACTTCGTTGCTCTCTTTTTTTCGCTCTCATTTTTCCCATTTTCTGCCTCCACTTTCCACCGCTCAAATGGCAGAAAACCGTTAAATTCAAATCTGAGATACCAGGCGCACAGAAATCAGCAGAAGGTCGTTGCTTTTTTTAAATTCTTTTTTTTCTTGTTTCTCTTTGTATTTCGTTGCTCTCTTTTTTCGCTCTTATTTTTCCCATTTTCTGCCTCCACTTTCCACCGCTCAAATGGCAGAAAACCAGTTAAATTCAAATCTGAGATGCCAGGCAAACAGAAATCAAAAAGAAACAATAAAAAAGACTCTGCTGATTTCTGTCTCAGATTTGAATGGTTTTCGCATTTGGAGGCATGGGAAAAAGCAGATGAAAGAAAAAGAGAATTTAAAAAAGCAGCGATTTGTTCTGCTGATATCTGAGAGCAACGAAATACAAAGAGAAAAAAAGATAATTTAAAAAAAGCAACGACCTTCTGCTGATTTCTGTGCGCCTGGATCTCAGATTTGAATTTAACGGTTTTCTGCCATTTGAGCGGTGGAAAGTGGAGGCAGAAAATGGGAAAAATGAGAGCGAAAAAAGAGAGCAACGAAATACAAAGAGAAACAAGAAAAAAAGAGAATTTAAAAAAAGCAACGACCTTCTGCTGATTTCTGTGCGCCTGGTATCTCAGATTTGAATTTAACGGTTTTCTGTCATTTGAGCGGTGGAAAGTGGAGGCAGAAAATGGGAAAAATGAGAGCGAAAAAAGAGAGCAACGAAATACAAAGAGAAACAAGAAAAAAAGAGAATTTGAAAAAAAGCAACGACCTTCTGCTGATTTCTGTGCGCCTGGTATCTCAGATTTGAATTTAACGGTTTTCTGTCATTTGAGCGGTGGAAAGTGGAGGCAGAAAATGGGAAAAATTAGAGCGAAAAAAGAGAGCAACGAAATACAAAAAGAAACAAGAAAAAAAGAGAATTTAATAAAAGCAGCGACCTTCTGCTGATTTCTGTGCGCCTGGTATCTCAGATTTGAATTTAACGGTTTTCTGCCATTTGAGCGGTGGAAAGTGGAGGCAGAAAATGGGAAAAATGAGAGCGAAATAAGAGAGCAACGAAATACAAAGAGAAACAAGAAAAAAAGATAATTTAAAAAAAGCAACGACCTTCTGCTGATTTCTGTGCGCCTGGTATCTCAGATTTGAATTTAACGGTTTTCTGCCATTTGAGCGGTGGAAAGTGGAGGCAGAAAATGGGAAAAATGAGAGCGAAATAAGAGAGCAACGAAATACAAAGAGAAACAAGAAAAAAAAAGAATTTAAAAAAAGCAACGACCTTCTGCTGATTTCTGTGCGCCTGGTATCTCAGATTTGAATTTAACGGTTTTCTGCCATTTGAGCGGTGGAAAGTGGAGGCAGAAAATGGGAAAAATGAGAGCGAAAAAAGAGAGCAACGAAGTACAAAGAGAAACAAGAAAAAAAGAGAATTAAAAAAAAGCAACGACCTTCTGCTGATTTCTGTGCGCCTGGTATCTCAGATTTGAATTTAACGGTTTTCTGCCATTTGAGCAGTGGAAAGTGGAGGCAGAAAATGGGAAAAATGAGAGCGAAAAAAGAGAGCAACGAAATACAAAGAGAAACAAGAAAAAAAGAGAATTTAAAAAAAGCAACGACCTTCTGCTGATTTCTGTGCGCCTGGTATCTCAGATTTGAATTTAACGGTTTTCTGTCATTTGAGCGGTGGAAAGTGGAGGCAGAAAATGGGAAAAATGAGAGCGAAATAAGAGAGCAACGAAGTACAAAGAGAAACAAGAAAAAAGAGAATTTAAAAAAAGCAACGACCTTCTGCTGATTTCTGTGCGCCTGGTATCTCAGATTTGAATTGAACGGTTTTCTTCCATTTGAGCGGTGGAAAGTGGAGGCAGAAAATGGGAAAAATGAGAACGAAAAAAGAGAGCTACGAATTTCAAAGAGAAACAAGAAAAAAAGAGATTTAAAAAAAGCAACGACCTTCTGCAGATTTCTGTGCGCCTGGTATCTCAGATTTGAATTTAACGGTTTTCTGCCATTTGAGCGGTGGAAAGTGGAGGTAGAAAATGGGAAAAATGAGAGCGAAAAAAGAGAGCAACGAAGTACAAAGAGAAACAAGAAAAAAAGAGAATTTAAAATAAACAACGACCTTCTGCTGATTTCTGTGCGCCTGGTATCTCAGATTTGAATTTAACGGTTTCTGCTATTTGAGCGGTGGAAAGTGGAGGCAGAAAATGGGAAAAATGAGAGCGAAAAAAGAGAGCAACGAAGTACAAAGAGAAACAAGAAAAAAAGAGAATTTAAAAAAAAGCAACGACCTTCTGCTGATTTCTGTGCGCCTGGTATCTCAGATTTGAATTTAACGGTTTTCTGCCATTTGAGCGGTGGAAAGTGGAGGCAGAAAATGGGAAAAATGAGAGCGAAATAAGAGAGCAACGAAATACAAAGAGAAACAAGAAAAAAAGGAATTTAAAAAAAGCAACGACCTTCTGCTGATTTCTGTGCGCCTGGTATCTCAGATTTGAATTTAACGGTTTTCTGCCATTTGAGCGGTGGAAAGTGGAGGCAGAAAATGGGAAAAATGAGAGCGAAAAAAGAGAGCAACGAAGTACAAAGAGAAACAAGAAAAAAAGAGAATTTAAAAAAAGCAACGACCTTCTGCTGATTTCTGTGCGCCTGGTATCTCAGATTTGAATTTAACGGTTTTCTGCCATTTGAGCGGTGGAAAGTGGAGGCAGAAAATGGGAAAAATGAGAGCGAAAAAAGAGAGCAACGAAATACAAAGAGAAACAAGAAAAAAAGAGAATTTAAAAAAAGCAACGACCTTCTGCTGATTTCTGTGCGCCTGGTATCTCAGATTTGAATTTAACGGTTTTCTGACATTTGAGCGGTGGAAAGTGGAGGCAGAAAATGGGAAAAATGAGAGCGAAAAAAGAGAGCAACGAAGTACAAAGAGAAACAAGAAAAAAAGAGAATTTAAAAAAAGCAACGACCTTCTGCTGATTTCTGTGCGCCTGGTATCTCAGATTTGAATTTAACGGTTTTCTGCCATTTGAGCGGTGGAAAGTGGAGGCAGAAAATGGGAAAAATGAGAACGAAAAAAGAGAGCTACGAATTTCAAAGAGAAACAAGAAAAAAAGAGAATTTAAAAAAAGCAACGACCTTCTGCAGATTTCTGTGCGCCTGGTATCTCAGATTTGAATTTAACGGTTTTCTGCCATTTGAGCGGTGGAAAGTGGAGGTAGAAAATGGGAAAAATGAGAGCGAAAAAAGAGAGCAACGAAGTACAAAGAGAAACAAGAAAAAAAGAGAATGTAAAAAAAACAACGACCTTCTGCTGATTTCTGTGCGCCTGGTATCTCAGATTTGAATTTAACGGTTTCTGCTATTTGAGCGGTGGAAAGTGGAGGCAGAAAATGGGAAAAATGAGAGCGAAAAAAGAGAGCAACGAAGTACAAAGAGAAACAAGAAAAAAAGAGAATTTAAAAAAAAGCAACGACCTTCTGCTGATTTCTGTGCGCCTGGTATCTCAGATTTGAATTTAACGGTTTTCTGCCATTTGAGCGGTGGAAAGTGGAGGCAGAAAATGGGAAAAATGAGAGCGAAAAAAGAGAGCAACGAAATACAAAGAGAAACAAGAAAAAAAAAGAATTTAAAAAAGGCAACGACCTTCTGCTGATTTCTGTGCGCCTGGTATCTCAGATTTGAATTTAACGGTTTTCTGCCATTTGAGCGGTGGAAAGTGGAGGCAGAAAATGGGAAAAATGAGAGCGAAAAAAGAGAGCAACGAAGTACAAAGAGAAACAAGAAAAAAAGAGAATTTAAAAAAAGCAACGACCTTCTGCTGATTTCTGTGCGCCTGGTATCTCAGATTTGAATTTAACGGTTTTCTGCCATTTGAGCGGTGGAAAGTGGAGGCAGAAAATGGGAAAAATGAGAGCGAAATAAGAGAGCAACGAAATACAAAGAGAAACAAGAAAAAAAGAGAATTTAAAAAAAGCAACGACCTTCTGCTGATTTCTGTGCGCCTGGTATCTCAGATTTGAATTTAACGGTTTTCTGCCATTTGAGCGGTGGAAAGTGGAGGCAGAAAATGGGAAAAATGAGAGCGAAAAAAGAGAGCAACGAAGTACAAAGAGAAACAAGAAAAAAAGAGAATTTAAAAAAAGCAACGACCTTCTGCTGATTTCTGTGCGCCTGGTATCTCAGATTTGAATTTAACGGTTTTCTGCCATTTGAGCAGTGGAAAGTGGAGGCAGAAAATGGGAAAAATGAGAGCGAAAAAAGAGAGCAAAGAAATACAAAGAGAAACAAGAAAAAAAGAGAATTTAAAAAAACCAACGACCTTCTGCTGATTTCTGTGCGCCTGGTATCTCAGATTTGAATTTAACGGTTTTCTGCCATTTGAGCGGTGGAAAGTGGAGGCAGAAAATGGGAAAAATGAGAGCGAAAAAAGAGAGCAACGAAATACAAAGAGAAACAAGAAAAAAAGAGAATTTAAAAAAAGCAACGACCTTCTGCTGATTTCTGTGCGCCTGGTATCTCAGATTTGAATTTAACGGTTTTCTGCCATTTGAGCGGTGGAAAGTGGAGGCAGAAAATGGGAAAAATGAGAACGAAAAAAGAGAGCTACGAATTTCAAAGAGAAACAAGAAAAAAAGAGAATTTAAAAAAAGCAACGACCTTCTGCAGATTTCTGTGCGCCTGGTATCTCAGATTTGAATTTAACGGTTTTCTGCCATTTGAGCGGTGGAAAGTGGAGGTAGAAAATGGGAAAAATGAGAGCGAAAAAAGAGAGCAACGAAGTACAAAGAGAAACAAGAAAAAAAGAGAATTAAAAAAAAACAACGACCTTCTGCTGATTTCTGTGCGCCTGGTATCTCAGATTTGAATTTAACGGTTTCTGCCATTTGAGCGGTGGAAAGTGGAGGCAGAAAATGGGAAAAATGAGAGCGAAAAAAGAGAGCAACGAAGTACAAAGAGAAACAAGAAAAAAAGAGAATTTAAAAAAAGCAACGACCTTCTGCTGATTTCTGTGCGCCTGGTATCTCAGATTTGAATTTAACGGTTTTCTGCCATTTGAGCGGTGGAAAGTGGAGGCAGAAAATGGGAAAAATGAGAGCGAAAAAAGAGAGCAACGAAATACAAAGAGAAACAAGAAAAAAAGAGAATTTAAAAAAAGCAACGACCTTCTGCTGATTTCTGTGCGCCTGGTATCTCAGATTTGAATTTAACGGTTTTCTGCCATTTGAGCGGTGGAAAGTGGAGGCAGAAAATGGGAAAAATGAAAGCGAAAAAAGAGAGCTACGAATTTCAAAGAGAAACAAGAAAAAAAGAGAATTTAAAAAAAGCAACGACCTTCTGCTGATTTCTGTGCGCCTGGTATCTCAGATTTGAATTTAACGGTTTTCTGCCATTTGAGCGGTGGAAAGTGGAGGCAGAAAATGGGAAAAATGAGAGCGAAAAAAGAGAGCAACGAAGTACAAAGAGAAACAAGAAAAAAAGAGAATTTAAAAAAAGCAACGACCTTCTGCTGATTTCTGTGCGCCTGGTATCTCAGATTTGAATTTAACGGTTTCTGCCATTTGAGCGGTGGAAAGTGGAGGCAGAAAATGGGAAAAATGAGAGCGAAAAAAGAGAGCAACGAAATACAAAGAGAAACAAGAAAAAAAGAGAATTTTAAAAAAGCAACGACCTTCTGCTGATTTCTGTGCGCCTGGTATCTCAGATTTGAATTTAACGGTTTTCTGTCATCTGAGCGGTGGAAAGTGGTGGCAGAAAATGGGAAAAATTAGAGCGAAAAAAGAGAGCAACGAAATACAAAAAGAAACAAGAAAAAAAGAGAATTTAATAAAAGCAGCGACCTTCTGCTGATTTCTGTGCGCCTGGTATCTCAGATTTGAATTTAACGGTTTTCTGCCATTTGAGCGGTGGAAAGTGGAGGCAGAAAATGGGAAAAATGAGAGCGAAAAAAGAGAGCAACGAAATACAAAGAGCAACAAGAAAAAAAGAGAATTTAAAAAAAGCAATGACCTTCTGCTGATTTCTGTGCGCCTGGTATCTCAGATTTGAATTTAACGGTTTTCTGCCATTTGAGCGGTGGAAAGTGGAGGCAGAAAATGGGAAAAATGAGAGAAAAAAGAGAGCAACGAAATACAAAGAGAAACAAGAAAAAAGAGAATTTAAAAAAAGCAACGACCTTCTGCTGATTTCTGTGCGCCTGGTATCTCAGATTTGAATTTAACGGTTTTCTGCCATTTGAGCGGTGGAAAGTGGAGGCAGAAAATGGGAAAAATGAGAGCGAAAAAAGAGAGCTACGAATTTCAAAGAGAAACAAGAAAAAAAGAGAATTTAAAAAAAGCAACGACCTTCTGCTGATTTCTGTGCGAATGGTATCTCAGATTTGAATTTAACGGTTTTCTGCCATTTGAGCGGTGGAAAGTGGAGGCAGAAAATGGGAAAAATGAGAGCGAAAAAAGAGAGCAACGAAGTACAAAGAGAAACAAGAAAAAAAGAGAATTTAAAAAAAGCAACTACCTTCTGCTGATTTCTGTGCGCCTGGTATCTCAGATTTGAATTTAACGGTTTTCTGCCATTTGAGCGGTGGAAAGTGGAGGCAGAATGGGAAGAGAGCGAAAAAAGAGAGCAACGAAATACAAAGAGAGAAGAAAAAAAGAGAATTTAAAAAAGCAGCGACCTTCTGCTGATTTCTGTGCGCCTGGTATAACAGATTTGAATTTAACGGTTTTCTGCCATTTGAGCGGTGGAAAGTGAAGGCAGAAAATGAGAAAAATTAGAGCGAAAAAAGAGAGCAACGAAATACAAAGAGAGACAAGAAAAAAAGAGAATTTAAAAAAAGCAGCGACCTTCTGCTGATTTCTGTGCGCCTGGTATCACAGATTTGAATTTAACGGTTTTCTGCCATTTGAGCGGTGGAAAGTGCAGGCAGCTGACTGATATGAAACGAAAAATTCGAATTGCTCGCTTACTGTATGGTTGAGGTTTAGCTTTAAATTTAAATTGGAAAACAGTGGGTGGTGTCAGTGGTAATTGGTGTTTCACATCTTTAAAAAATTATTCCCACCCTTCTGTGGGAAAAGGCTATATGAGCATTTTTGCTGGCAGAGCACTACCACACGTGCAAATGAGATATTTCTCAGCTAACGCAAGTCCAACTTCGGGAAAGAACCAGCGATAGCGACGACTCTAGACTGGTGCTGAGTGGACAAGAAGTCCGCACATGATGCGTAAGACTATAAAACAAATATGTTCATCTACTTCAGCCACATCCTGTAAGTACGGACGGCTAGAAGCTCGGAAATATGTTCTTTTGCCTTTATAATATTTTCCTTAAATTGAAAAATACGTAGTTCATAACATATAATTGTCTTTTATTTTCTTCTAATTGGTAATTTGTATAATTATATTTCTATCTAATATATAAAAAGTGCATTAAAGTTCCATCTTTCATAACAATACTTCAAAGAGGCACATGGCGTTCTGGCTCACTGTTGGATCAAGACTTCTTACACTCAGCGCTTGTTCAACTCTATTTCCTGTTCTGCGCAGCTGCTTTCATCTACTTCAAAACCACTTAAATATAGAACGGATTCTGCAACCCCAAACTGTTGTAGTTTAAGAATTATCAGAAGTTGAGATAGCCAATGGATCGTCTTGATTTACTTTCTTTGCTTTCGTCGCATAGTTGGCGAGTTTCATAAGACGGTCATGTGCATATTGGAAGAATTTCTGCGAAGCCCTTTCGAAAACGGACTCTTCAAAATTGGGATATTTTTTTCTACTCGCACCTGTAAGAGCGGGGAACAAGAATTATTATTTAACAATAATTTTCCGCTTAAAATGAAATCTCACTTCGAATAGCTAGGGTAATGGAGAGGGGCCTAATGCACTTCTTTGTCGTGGTTCCCCTCCAGCAATATTTCTCCGCCAGCTCATCCACAAATAGTTTACGCCAACACATTCGAATGTATTTCTCGTAGTCGTTGGCATTCAAATTTTCAAATTCTTTGACCTAATGTAGAAAGTAATCAAAATATTAGCATTAAAATTGTACGAAAAGATATCAGTAATTTACTACTTACCATTCTTTTAAGATTCTCATCGTCTTGAAGTCTTTTCTCCAATGCTTCAAGCTCGGATCCTAGAGTAAATGGATTTAGCGGTATAACTTTTGTTGGCCACTGGCCACAGTCCGCACTGGATTCTCTTTTTGTGAGGGTACCATTCTGCAGTGCCTCCAGTTCATTGTCAATTTTGTCGAGCCTTGAGCAGATCTCCTCGTCCCTATCCTTCTGCCATTCCTCCATAGCCTTCTGTGCCTCTTGTATGCTTTTGAGACGGTCCAGGATTTCTTTAAATTTGAACAGGCATCTTAATGAATGGAAATACAAATAACAAAAAACTTACCCTTTAATACATTATTGTATAGCATGTTGTTGAGTGAAAGCAACTGTCCCAAGCCTGAATCAAAATCGGTGGCACCCCTCGGCTCAGTAACATTGAGATTATGCTGCATGCTTTCCGCAGAATGCTCTTGTTTGCTTTCAATTCGACGTTTTTTCCCAGTCAAAACCACCTCAAAGTCCGAGCCGGAACCATGCTTCAATGGGAAGTTACTGCCATTAATTTCCTCGCCGTTACTGTTCCAGTTTTGATGCTCGCTTTGATTTTTTTCATTTCCACGGGACGAGTTAATGCGGATTTTCCTTTTGGGAGGCATTTTCTTGATGCGCTAAAAGAAATCATCATTAATAAAAAATCGCCAAGCACACTAATTGACTATTTACCGAGGAAAGAACAGTGGACTCTTTACCTGAGGGAGCGGTGGTCAGACAAAGGGAAAGGAGGCTAAAGCGAGCAATAATCGAGCCTTTCGCCTTCGCTTTTAGCTCGCGTGCGCGAATGTACGCTGGCACGTCCTAGGAACAAACGTAAGTTGTACACTCTTTACCTGAGTGTACTATCCACGTATTCCAGGCTTCCCTATGACCATCTGCTGCCACTTATAAGTGGCATTCGTCGAATTTGAATAGTTTCTTGTGGAAAGAGGGGGGCGTGGCGTTTATCAACAAACCACTGTAGCTGCAACAGCTGTTCGCTCATCGATGGCCCAAATATCGATGGATGGTTTGCTGAGAATCGGTTAATCGGCCATCACTATTCTGTATACGAACGCCGCCGCCGCTTTGTTTGTTGCAGCGGTGCGTTTGAAGTTTTTTTTTAGCGTGCAACAAATTGTTTACCTTACCAGAGGAGGCTATCATTAGCTCACCAGCTCGAATCGCCGTTAGTCTTCGCCTTAGTCGGAATTCAGAATGTCAGGAACTATACTCGAGAACTTGAGCGGTCGGAAACTGTCCATATTGGTGGGCAGCCTGCTGCTGTGTCAAGTGCTGTGCTTCCTTCTGGGTGGGCTGTACGCGCCAGTACCCGCCGGACATACAAACGTCCTAGGCTCACTGTGCAGGGAAAACCATGCGCGTCAGAACGACACCAGCTTCTTTTTGTATTCGCGTGGCGAGGGAGCCTGCACCCAGGTTACGCGCGAGGAGGTGGAACAGGACTCGATGAAGCTGGCCAACCAGATTGTGCATGTTTTCCAGATGCCACTGCCGCGCGACAGTCGCGTACTGGACTACTCGCGCTGGCAACAGAATCTCATTGGCGTGCTGCAAGTGGAATTCGGATATGACTCCTCCTCGGAGTTGCGCGAACCCCCCAAAGAGCTGCAGTTGACGATCGACATGCGCCTGGCCTACCGCAACAAGGGTGATCCCGACCACGCGTGGAAACTGTACGCGCATGGCGTGGAGCATCGCTATCTGGATTGCATTGCCGCCCACATCGGTGCCTCGGAGACGCTCTACACCTGCGACATGATACCTCTCTTCGAGCTTGGGGCTCTGCATCACAGTTTCTATCTACTGAATCTGCGCTTCCCCCTGGACACGCCTAAGCAAATGAACCTCCAGTTTGGACACATGCACGACCTCACGCTGACTGCGATCCACCAGAACGGTGGCTTCACCCACGTCTGGCTCATGCTGAAGACCCTGCTCTTTCCCTTTGTGGTGGGCATCATGATCTGGTTCTGGCGCAGGGTTCATCTGCTGCAGAGATCGCCGGCCCTGCTGGAGTACATGCTCCTCTATCTCGGCGGCGCCCTGACATTCCTCAATTTGCCCTTGGAGTACCTGTCGCTCACCATTGAGATGCCATACATGCTCCTCTTGAGCGACATTCGCCAGGGCATCTTCTACGCCATGTTGCTCTCGTTCTGGCTGGTCTTTGCCGGGGAGCACATGCTGATACAAGACTCCCCCAACAAGTCGACCATCCGGTCGCGCTACTGGAAACACCTCTCGGCCGTCGTAGTTGGATGCATCTCGCTGTTCGTCTTCGACATTTCCGAACGTGGGGTGCAGCTGCGTAATCCATTTTACTCCATCTGGACGACTCCGCTGGGCGCCAAGGTGGCCATGAGCTTTATACTTCTTGCCGGAGTTTCGGCGGCCGTTTATTTTCTGTTTCTGTGCTACATGATCTCTAAGGTCTTCAAGAACATTGGCGACAAGCGCACCTCGTTGCCGTCCATGTCGCAGGCGCGTCGCCTTCACTACGAGGGTAAGTAACAGCAATTTACGAGATCTTATAGAAATAAAGTTAAAGAATGGAAATTATACATACAGGACTCATCTACCGCTTCAAATTCCTTATGCTGGCCACACTGCTCTGCGCCGCTCTAACCGTGACCGGCTTTATCATGGGCCAGATGGCAGAGGGCCAGTGGAAATGGAATGATGACGTCGAGATTCAGCTGACCTCGGCCTTCTTGACCGGCGTATACGGCATGTGGAACATCTACATCTTTGCCCTGCTCATTTTATACGCTCCCAGCCACAAGCAGTGGCCGACAATGCATCACAGCGACGAGACCACGCAGTCAAATGAAAATATCGTGGCATCAGCGGCCAGCGAGGAAATTGAGTTCAGCAACCTGCCCTCCGACTCCAACCCCAGTGAGATATCCTCGCTTACCTCCTTCACGCGCAAGGTGGCCTTTGAATAGGGGCTCGCAAGCGCGAAAAAGAATATTTATTGAGTTGTGTGCCAAACTAAGATGACAATTTGGCATTGGCTTTGGCCCGCAGCTGTAACGCTCAAAGTGTGTGTAACGCTCAGTTTATTAGATTAGCAGTAGAGAGTGTAGCATTTCTTGCCCAGTTTCGCACTTAACAATCTGATCAGCATTATTAATTAACTATATCATTATCATTACCAGATAGATTTCGGTAGACATTCTCAGCATGCTCAAAGTGTTTTCCAATCGATAAATGTTAAATGTATTCTTTGTGTTTGCCTCGGCAGTCAGTATTATCTTTTGAGTCCAATTTAATAGCCTGTAAGATTTTATATTCATATGTATTTATCAGATAATATTTACGGGCGCATGCCGCCCCAATTTTATATTTATATATACATACCACACCATACCTATGCGTAGAATTCTTCCCCATTTTTTGTAACTGAAAACGTAGAGCAATTTCTTACTCAAGTAGCGATGCAACGAATAAAAAGCAATATTAAAAATGACAAGGGGTTTCAAGTTTAATAAATGCTTAAACACCCTGCACTATGCAGCTGTGAATCTTCCTTTATCGCCATCGGATCGAAATTTCGGGAATGGTGTAGAATATGGGGTCTACCAAATGATTCTCTGCGGTGTGCTGTAGTCCTGCCAGTAGAACTCTTTGGTGAAGTACACATAGAATGTAGCTACATTCAGAAGCAAATGTGCGCCCAGCTCCAGCCACTCCGAGTAGCCCTTGCGTGTGTGCCGCGTGTTCAGCCGAAAAAGGATGTAGGGCACTAGAAAGTATCGTAGCTCGAGGAGTCGCTGGAAGCACAGAACCAGCACAAGGCTGAGGGGAAACATCAGCTTAAAGCTGTCGGACATGTGACGCAGCCCGCAGTAGAGCACTGTCATGGCGAACAGATAGGCAGGCGCCATGGCATAGCGGAACCACCAGAACCGACCATACAGGCGGCTCCACACATAGAAAGTGTAGTGACGATTATCGGCCAACAGGTACGGATGCACAACCGTGTTCAGGTGGATCACCGTAAGTATTAAGAACAGAGCCAGAAGGGCGGGGATTCTGTTGCGCCGAAGCATCTCCACCGCGGGACGAAGCTGGCGTAGTGTGTTGGATACGGCAAAGATAGCGGCAAATATGGCAAAGTAGAAGATTTGCGGCAGATTTAGGGAGGCCTCGTGCGCGCTCTTGTCACCCACAACAATCGCACCGTTGATGCAAAGGAATCCAACGAAGGGCAGTATGACGGATATGTAGAAGCAGCACTTGGCCAAAATGCTCAATATACAACTGAACAGCAATTGTGGACTGCCTAATAGCTGCAGCCACATCTGCAAGGGACGAGAATATCTAGTTAGCGGAAATATCTATACGCGGTGCTACTTACATCCGCTCCTAGCAGTCGGATCTGTCCCTTGTGCACTGCACGCCTCTTGGCGCACTGCTCGACCAGTGTGTCCAGCACAGTCATTCCGGTGCCCATGCAAACCCACACAATGTTCGTTTGCCGCATCAGCACACTGGCAGCTCCGAAGACAGCTGCGGGTAGGTGCGCGTCATGCTGCCAGAAGTGGTAGAACATAAGCACCATGGTCAGCGACAGGGTGTCCGTGTAATACAGATGACTGAAAAAGTATAGTGGCGGCAACACCGATAGGGTTATTGCCTCGTGTGCTGCATAGGAATTGCCACCTGTGCCGGCCAACGTTCGACGCCGGATCCTGTAGAGCAGCATTATGTTGATGCCCGCACCGATAAGACTCAGCAGGCGTAGGCCCGTCACAGTGCAGTAGTTGAATGGGTTCAAGACGAGGGCAATCAGATATAGGCCGGGAAACGTAGTTATCTTCGGGTCCCACTGAAAATGAGAGTGACTCAATGAGTACGCTTGTAGCCCACTATTCTCGGTCCCACACCTACCACGTCAAACTGCTTTCGACAAAAAGCCAGGCCCTGTGGAATGTGAAACTCCTCATCGATGATGTAGTTGGAAGTACCGTTGACACGCAGAAACAGAGGCAGCGAATACATCACAAAGCCCATGGGCAGGACCAGTTTCCAGGACCCGCTCATGAATTTGTTTCCAAATAGCCTTTTGTTTATTTGTTTGTTTTTTTTTTGGACCGGGTTGACCGCGGATTTATCGATAAAATATACTGCCTAGAGGTGTCAAACCATCGAGGGCACTATCGATAGTATCGATATTTTACTGCTAGTCTCTACTATCGACAGTTTTGCGACTATCATGATATTATCGAGCTACAGTCGTTGCGCTTTTTGATATGTTTGGATTGGCTGCTATAAAATACGAAGCCAATTTTGCAAACAAATCGACAGGTGGCATCTAATTTTTACAATGGACAAGTTCCTAAAAGGTTTCAATGGTTTTTTTAATAATTATTAGAGCTATCACGATAGTATCGACTGTTTTTTCAAAACATTCGACGTTGATATTCCTCGATATTGATATTCAGTTTAATATTACTAGCTAGTTGGCCCTCTCAGGCCTAAAAAAATAATTTCATCCGATAGATACATAAATTTTCTGCAAGATTGGCAAGTTTTCAGAAGTCCCTTTTATTGGATTATTTACATATTAAGGTTTCAAACTAAAACAACATAAAACGAATGTGACTTTTTTTTGGCGTTGCCAGACTCGTGCAATTAGTAGTTCCTGCGGGCTGCCACACCATGTTATTTTGTGATATGAAATTCGTCAATTTTGATATTCCGTTTAATATTACTAGATAGTTGGCCCTCTCAGCCCTAAAAAAATAATATTATCCAATTCCTTAATGAATTTTTTTTAGGATTGGCTAGTTTTCAGAGTTCTTTTTCATTGAATTGTTTACATAATAAGGTTCAAACAAAACCGGCCAAAGCATAAAACTTAAATGTTGACTAAATGTGACGTCATTGTTGCTGGTAAACCAAGTTTCTTCTATGCGTATGGACTTTTATATACCTTATTTTCATTAATTAATGTTAAATAAACCGAAATATAGCTTTTATCAAAATATACCGTAAATTTACCGAGGAAATTACATATAATCCGCGCACTTGAATATTGCACTCCTCCCTGACAAAAGCTCGCCGCCATGCTACTAGCTCAGTTTCATACCGGCCAGCCCCTGGCTCAATGCAAATTGTAGGCGCCATGTTTAAATGAGCTGTGTGTGTGATTATCGGATGAAGTTATGATATAATATATTATGTACTCCATATATTATTATATCGAAGAGCGCTATCCATATCTATAACTTCCAAAATAATATCAAAATTATCCACAACGCGTTGGAACCACAAATTAAACCATTGCTTCGGCCATTTCTGTTAATAGAATAATTATTTATTTTCAACAGGGGATATTTTTCAAAATAGATCATTTAAAAGTGTGTAATAGATATATACTCTGTCTGTAAATACATTTAATTAAATGCTCAGGTTGATTGATATTCTCAGGTGGTTAGTTCGAAACAACATTATAATCGTTACTCTACGAGATAGAAGACACTTTCATTATATCATGCATCTCTCTTTGCATTGGGACAATTTCAAACTGTCCTTCGATGGCACAAAATCCAAATGCAGTGGGGGTAGGGGGGCTTAAGAGGATAAGAGAGTGGAGTGCCAGGAATGCGGAATGCAAATGTTGAAAATAGAATAAATCATTCTAAGAAATCCGTGTGTGGACCGTGAGTACTTACGAGTAATAATATTAAAATAAATGTAGTTTATGTAATAACATAACAGCATTCGCCTGCTACAATTGGAATACAAATACAAATTGGTATCATAAATATATAATCGTTTCTGGTTTTGCTCTGCTCTCTACATATTTCATCGTGTTCTGTTCTCAAAATGTCATAATTAAACCTGAACTAGACCCAAATCAAAGAGGATTCAATGCCAAAACTACGGAAGGTAGCCGCAGCGGAAGATGTTGGCTTTTGGTTTTGGCTTTATTGCGGAATGTCTGAGAGTGGAGATGGGTGGACGTGACGGGGTGGACTGATGCTGACACAGATCCGATCCGCAGATCTACATGTGCCTGGTGTTGCCAAAGTTGATGCCCGACTGGGTGGCGCCCTTGTTGGAGCCATACTGCAGGGAGATGACATTCTGGCCGGCGCGCAGCTGCTCGTCGCTGAAGTTGCGCACATTCTTGTCAGCCTCCTTGGGTCCGATCGAGGGCTTGTTGAAGTTGGATGCCTACGGCAGATAAGAGATCGTCATCAGCATTATCTTGTGAATATTTTCAGCGATGATTGCACTCACCTTGCGACCCAGCGACTGCAGGCAGATAACCACAGAGTTCAGATTCTGGCGCTCCCAGAGATCAACGCTCTGGAAAGTCTCCTGGGTGGGGACGCCAAAGTTCTTGGCACACGCCAAGAAGGCCGAGATGTTCTCCATGCACTTGAAGGCCATTTTGCTCTCGTTCACCTTCTTGATGGAGCCCGGCTGCAGGGCGTTGGCCAGTTTGCACAGGATCACGCCATCCTTGAGCACTTCGAAGAAGTTGTCCGTGTCGCCGGAAGTGTTGATGGGCTCAGCGGTCACCGACTTGATCCACTCCAGGGATTCCTGGGCCAGCTCCTCGCTGTACTTTGAGTTGATCTGCAATCAGGATAAGTAGGGGGGAAGACCTCTGATTAGATTTTTTGTCAATTCTCCGAGAGACGAGTACCTTGGACTGGTACATGGCTGCTGCAAATCCCTCTCTTTCAGGGGGACTTTCTAGACTGGAGCACCAAATCGCGAGTCAAATCATGTTCAGACCCTGACAATATATCTCTAGCTCTAACGGTTGGGTTATTTCCCCTTCTACTATCTCAGGCAATATCGGTGATAAGGGAGTTATCATTAATTGGCTATAAACATTCACCTTTCCCTGTCTGGCACTCGTGACATTTCGCCGGTTATATTTCAAGTTGCGATAAGGATAAGATTGCACTTCGCTTACACTCTCTCTCTCTCTCTCCCGACTGGGAGTGTCATTGAATGGGTGCTACCTTGCTCAAATTATAAAAGTCAGTCACGTTCACATGTTCTCAAACCAATATACAGTATACGTATGCGTATACTATAGATACAACCATATTTGCGAATGCTGATCGATAGCTTTGACTGGGAGCGGAGCCTGTTTTATCCGACTGTCTTGACCATATTTGGCCTTAAGGTTGCCGGCCGCTTGGGCGTCCTTCGCACCGATTTTGGCCATAGAGCGAGCTCTGAGAGTGTGGCCCACCACTTGTTGAGCATATGGCCCCCATTCAAAGCGGAGCAACACTTTTGAATCACTCCATTTCCAACCGCAGCAACCAAAAATCAAAAACCAAAACCATCCCCAGCGCACACAAACCGCAAAAACGTTGCGTGTCGTGTTACAATTTAGCTTCAGCCAATAAAAATCAAAATCCGAATCGGATTCAAAATGCTTAACAAACTTTAGGTCACCCCACCCACTCCTAATCATTATTAGTTTTATTTGATTAAATTGTAGTTTCTGTCGCTAACAGATTTCAGATTATCAGCAAATTTTTATCAAAGTGAACGGAGGAATACATACATACATGCACACACACACTATATATACAGACATATTGAGTGTACACTCGTAAAATATATATGGACAAACGTACTTTACTTCCACTAGAATGTGTGATTTGGTTGTGACGGGCAAGTCTATTAAAATGAATGATCTCAGAAAACAAATGGAACGATTGTCGCCAATTGAGTTGTATTGTGGCTTGTGGGTCCGGGTCTCGGGTCCCACCACTCTCCGTCATTCAGCTCCAATCTGCACTCCTTATCGCTGTCCCCCTGGGAAATGCAAGCAAACCCATAAATTGCCTGAGCTATAGAAGGGGGGCTGTAGACTGTTATAATTAAGCGAATCACAGAGGCTTTCCCTGGATTTGTGTACTTAATAAAGGTGAATGCACTGCACTAAATAACTCTATCTCTCTCTCTCTCTCTCTACCTATATATATATATCGTTCCCTCTCCCTTTCACAACGGTAGTCATCCGACTTTATGAGCATTATTAACGACTGATCCATGATTAAGATATGCAGAAAAAGAATCCCAGTGGCTTTACCACAGAATCAATATGCAAATCAACTGGAGATGACTCTATCAGAAAAGCTGACTGACGGATTTCTCTTTCAATTATTAAACGGCCATCACAGTGGGCTATCCATAATTGCAAATGAGCGGCATTAGTTCCTTCCCACTGTTTCGCAAATTGGAATAACGGTCCAACAGCAGAGGTCAGCTCATTAGAACCCGTTGCCAGCCCAGCACTTATCTTATGCCAAAAACAAAGCCACATGAAATGGAACCAAATAACAGAATCATCCATCATTGGGGGACAGATGGAGTAAGAGACAGAGAGAGAGAGAGAGGAAAAGTCTCGAGAAGCGTGAGACAATTAATAAAAATGATTTTGATTGACATTCTCTTCAAGAATCTGGCCCCAGCCACAACATGATCATAACTCTGGAAGCTACCCGAACGCCGATGATGATGATTATGATGATGGCAGATAAATTGACACCCTCCAGGCAGATGAATAAATTTCGTTTGGGCATAAATATGTAGATGGGATTCTACGGCCTGGCCTGCCTGTCTCTCTATAGCTAATCGTAAATAAAAAGCCGTTAAGAAACTAATGAATGCCGAACATTTCTTACACGTTTTCGACAGTTGGTGGTCCCAGCAGAATCGCACAGCTCCTAAAGCTGAAAAATGTTTTGAGAATAGCAAAATTATTTCTGCTTTCTGCTAAGTTACGAGTATTGTTGCTTCTTCAGTCGCATATATTTTTAGCGCTGTTTTAATGAGTCAGCAGCAAGCAGCAAGCAGCAGTCGGAAAGCTCGGAGCCAGCATTTCATTTGTTTTATTATTTTTTTGTTTAGTTTTGCTAGCTACGTATAGCTACATATGAGGTCGTCTTGAAATTCAACGACAATCGAATGCCGGCGCAAAAGTACAGCAAATAATATATACTATATAAGGAATAATGTGAGTGTATTGTATGGGCTATGGTATACGTATACGAGTAGAAACATATGTACAGCTGGCCAGAACG